CTGAAATTCTCCAAAGCATTTAACCTAGTTTTCATAGAAATAAATGTCTTGTCTCTGTATTCATATTTCATTGATTTATATAATATTTAATTAGATTATAAATTAATATCACAACACCAATAAGGATAAACAGATTTGGAAGCAGCCTGAATATTAATAAGCCTAAAATTTAACAAACCTAAAGAACAGAAGTGGAAAGAGTGTTCAGCATGCATTTGATGCTATCCAGAATACTTTAGAAAAAGAAAAGAGAATATCAGTTAATCCAGCCAGGAGATCAGTTGAAAATCATGTAAGGGGATTGACATAATTAAGAATTATATTATAAGTATATCAGGAAACATGACTTTGATTAATATATGCTATTCCAGCCATTGAACACTCCAAAATTTACTTAAGCAATCACACATCATTGGGCATCATAATCAAATGTCACACATAAAATATTTTCTTTTATTTTTGATTATTTTCTCAAGGCATTTTCCTACAAATTGATTACTGTGTCAGTAGATATGAACATTTACAAGTTATTGACCCATATAGCCAAATCTCTTTCTTGAAAGTTTGTAACAATTCACATTCCAATAGTGGTATATGAGGGTTCTTATCTCACATGCAAACACACCAGTGCCAAGATCACTTCTTACATGAAAATAAAACAAAGCAAATCCAGAAAAGCAAAGACAAAAATACTTGACGGTTTGATATACAAAGCACATTATCTTTGTTTTAATTTGTATTAAGGGTTTTAAAAATACAAAGATTTCATTTCATAGGGCAAATTGATTGTGTTTAGCAAGTTATAAAAAACAAAACAAAACTAGGAAGCCATTCTTTATTCCTGTTCAGAGAAGAGTAAGTATAAATGGGTTTAAGTACAAATGGGAGATTATAAGGGAGACTTTTCCATAAGAGTCATTAAAATCTGAACAGAAGGCCAAGGGAGACTGGCAGAATATTTTTTTAAACAAGACCCAGGCCTATTTTGTAGTTTGAGTGAGGGAAGCTTGGGAGGCCAACCATGAAACTACTACTACAGCCCTCTCTGGTTCTATTACTCTATTGCATAAACCTGCACGTTGTTGTCCTTTACCTTCCTGTCTTACTTCACAATGCAGTTGAGAGAAATCCGTATCTGTATTTAATAGTAGTCAACTCTACCCCAAGTTGAAAAAAAGTTTGCACAATTGCATTGTTGTGTAGTTTCTAGTTTGCTAGTGTTTGAAGGATTTCCGGTCTAAAATGAGTTTGCACTTCAAAGTACTAATTTATAAAAAATTGTTGGTTTCTGTCCTTTACTTTTCTAGTTCATCTACTTATTCAGCTGCAAGATGCAAATATATTTTGCAGGCTTCAGTGCCAGGACAAATAGCTTTCTTAAAGACTTTCTGATTGAAGGATAAGTGCTGAGACAAATCTTTTAAGGGTGGAAGTCCCTTGCTTTCAGAGCTTCCCTAGTATAATGACATATTCTAATCAGTTTTGACATAAGTTTTAATCTTTTTTAAGAATAAATTAAATTTATTTTAATAAGTCTTCTTTTGCTCATGAAAAATGAACCTAAATACACAAATCTCATTTCAGAGGTGCATGTTATTTATCAGTTGTATTATTTGTAACCATATCAAACAAGTATGATACAGATGAATAAAACCAGTCTTGGGAAAATAATTTCATAGTTGCTTTCTTTCCTCCCAGTTATGCTATATAATAAAGGAGAACCAAAAGTTGTAAACAAATTGCACTGATTATCACTATGTGCTACTCCTCACCCTGATTTTCCTTCTAATCTCTGGATGTTTTGTGTAACATACCAGCAGGACATGGCTTACAGCAGAATTGGCCTCCATGATGCATGCCTTCCATGCACTGAGTTTCATTTTTGGTAACATTCTTCCTCAATTCCAGCCCCTCAGAGTTAGTATCAGTTACTCGGGCATTAACACTTGTGGACAACGATCCAGCAATAAAGGTAAGTACCTGTAAAAGAAAAGCATAAAGAGAATTTTATTGATTTCTGAACTAAGCAACTTGCTAAACAGGAATAACTCGCCCAGAATGGTTGTTCAATTTGCTGTGCACCAGGGAAGTCAATAATGGGACTCCAACCTCGTCCTGAGTTACCTCCAAGAAAGGAGCAGATCAACCACATGGCAGCTCAGAATATGGGTTCTCCAAACCACATTAGAAATAGCATCATGGATGACAGGAGCCAGGGCTTTGCTCAAAGTAAAATTTATCTCACACTTACTGCCCTGTATTTGTGGGTAAAATCACTTAAATTTTCCAAATCTTGGTTTCTTTATCTGTAAAGTGGAAACAACCTCTTCTTCATAGATTTGTAGTAATAATTAAATAGAAAAATAAACTTAAAGCTGTTAGCACAGTATCTGGCACACAATAATAAATAGGTGCCCAATAAGTGGTATTATTATTATTATTACTGTCATAAAGTTCTAATGAGAGGCAGCATAGTGGACTAGGAAAAGAGAAATTTCGAGACAACTGTGGTTTGGATTCCAGTTCTGCTACCAACACTATGACTTTCAGCAACTTATATAACCTCCCTGATCCTCAGTTTCCACATCTGTAAATGCAAACAGTACTTTGTGTCTTCAAGGGTTATGAGGATAAAAAGTGATGATTTCTATCTAACCTGATACTTAGCTGTCAGCACATCTACTTATTCCCTTTTTATACACAACCACAAAATGATTGGTTTTGATTAAATTCCCACAGGTTATCCAAGCACACAATAAATATCCCACTAAATCGAATAGGATTTTCTTCACC